GCAAATTTGTCTTATTTGAAAGTTAATAGATTCCGAGATACAGGGTGTCAAAGTGTAAATAAAAATGTCGCATTTTCTGAATACATTTTTCACCAGTTTTACAATATAGAACCACCAAAATTTGTGTTTGGGGTTTTTTAGATCGGAAAATCCAAATCCCTCTAGAAACTACAAGCCAACCAATAGAGAATTTAGATTTGCCGACCTAAAAAACCCCCAAACACAAATTTTTGTGATACTAGTAAAACTAGTTAAAAATCTATTCAGAAAAAAATAATTTTTTATTTACACTTTGACACTGTATGTCGGAATCTATTAACTTTCGCATAAGACAAATTAGCCGGAAACGCAATATTTTTGCCTAAACCATATACTTACCAGTAAATTTTTGGACAGTAGTCGAGGACCATCCTGTTGCATGCAATGGAAATTGTTTAGGATTTGAGGTATTTTGAGCCCGTTTTTTCTTCATCTTTCAGTCTTTTTGGTCAAACATCAGATTTTCTCATATGTGTTGAGTTCAATTAAGCTCTCGACATATGAATGCAAATGCAACATGCCAATATAGAGGGTTTGAGTCTATCGCAAAAAAATATCGATGGTAAAAGATTATGATCGCTCAAAACCCGCTAAAAGTGAGCAAAAAATGTTTAATGTTTGGAATTTCTAGGGTTTAACATGTGATTGACCAATGAGGTTGTTACATTTTTCGCATCCTTGCAATCACAATGGAATAAAATTTCAAGCATTACAATTTCTTGACAAAAAACCAATTAGGCATATAATGAAGATTTTGAGTCTATGAGTGTAACCGGAAAGTTATTTTTCGATTTAATTCATCTCCTACATTAGTTCTTTTTACTGGATCATCCAGTAAAATAAAGGGATTACATTACAAAATCGATGTAATATGCTCAATTTTAAAGAGAACGCGACATTAGTGTTCAATGTGTAAATCCTGTTCAGATGTGGAGCGATTCAAAACCCACTAACTCTGTTGATCTGGATAAATTGTTGGATAATGGATAATACCGTGAATTCAAACTAATCAGTAAATTGTGCCTATGCAAAGAACAAAGGAAGTAACAAAAACAGGAGAAACCAAAGGAGAACCCACAGGAGAAAAAATGTTCACGATAAGAACGAAAAACCAATTGAAGAAACGATTGAGGAAATAGAAACGTCTCAATCACGAATTTGGAGAACAGAATGTAAAGAAACTGAAGAAACGAATTTAGCGGCGGAATGTTGGAGAAGATCAAGTTCTTTCAGGAGAACTAAAATACTACGGTACCAACGGTGCATAAAACAATTCTAGCAGAAATCCTACAAGATGCAAAAGATTGAAGAAATCATAATTTGCTTAATTTTAAAAAGAATCCGACATTAATGTTACATAGTAAATCCTCTTCAGGTGTGGAGCTATTCAAAACACACTAATTCTGCTGATCTGGAGGAATTGTGAGACTACGAAAAGGCTTGTGCCTAAGAAAAAAAACTGAAGTCCCAAATACAGAAGAAAACAAGAGAATAAACTACAGGAGAAATAAATGTTGCAATAAAAACGAACATCCAATTGACGACATGATTGGGGAAATAGGAAAGGCTCAAACACGAATTTGGACTACAAAAGGTGGGGAAAATGAATAAACGAAATCAGCGACAGAATGTGAAAGAAGATTATCGTTCTTTTAGGAAGACTTAAATACCTTTCAAAAGTAATAAAACCGCATGAACCAATTACAGGAAAAAATCCTACAAGATGGAAAAGATTGATAAAATCGATTGAAAAAAGGATAAAATTTTGACGATGCGTCGCAAGCCAACCAGAGATTGAGAATTAACCAGTGAATGATGGACAAATGGGTAAAATTGTTTAATAGACACAACGTTTCGGTGAGAACATAAGTTGAACATTCAAGGGTTGTCACTAATGTTGAACACTTGAGAATCTTTTCCCAAAATCTCATCTTCAATCTCATTTAGAGGCTCCTCACATTATGCAGCCTTTTTGGATAAAAAGAGTCCAATCCTCCAATTCGTGCGAGGCACGATTACGGTTCTCACGATCTATCAAAATATTTCTCGATTCTTGTAACTTAATATAAAAATATTTAAGGCTACAAGAAATGGCCGGCTTACAAACACGAGCACCGAAACGTTTTAAGCCGCCCAGCGGCAAAAAGCGATACATCAAATAGTCAAACCGATTGACGTTTAAGCACCACATCGAGATATTAATCACTGATCGGGTTCTTTATAAAACTTGACTTCGCTGGTTTTATACGGGGGTTTTTATCAATCAACTACTTTGTATCGGACTTAACATCATCCAATAGAACTTCAATTCGGGAGAGAATAGATGCATTTTCAACCTGACTCTAGATTTCTCCAGATTCCGGAAGGCCATCAAGGCTCAATGTAGATGATGCAGTGCCAGTTGAGTTTGGCTGGTTTTGGAGCGTTTTAAAATCGGAAAAATCACATTTGAAGACATTTAATAAGCAACCCTGGTAACGAAGAAATCTGAGATAAAACAGACATAACCAGGCACGTCGATGTGCTGTGAGATCGGCGGCGGATGAGGTATTTATATGGATCTTTTAACAATTGACTGACACTCAAAGGCACCGCCCGTTGTTCGCTAAGAGCACTCTTGACACTGACGACCAATGCCCGACGCCGCTGACGTTCTTACTCTAATCCATATCGGTTGTTCTTTCGATACAACTTTATATTTTTTAAACGAGGAATGGGAACTGAACTTGAATATGCAACAGTTATAAGGTCCCAGACTTTTGGATCATCTGGCATGCTGGAAGATCAATTAAGTCTCAACAGATGGAAGAAATTGATCATTCTATCTCAGTATTTAAGTAGCATGTGATCTGACAGAAAATATGGATTCAGTGGGTTTATTCCATTCGTGTACATCCAATGAACAAAATTCTCAGAAGAAAGGTCTCAGAAGTCTAAAGAGCTTCATCGGATAGCACAATCGTATAATGCACAGGTCAGCTAATCTGTAAGTTAAAGTAGAAACTAAAGAGTATGCACAACACTGGTATATAACACATTGTTTGTAAACAAAAGTTATGAATAATTGTGATAAATTTCACGTTTTGACCTAAAATTAACGTTTTTTTGCAACTGGCATTGATCACTGCTTCTATCATCGAATGTTTCCATATTGAGGTTTGCAATTATCTGATTAAATCCGTTTATGTCTTCAAGCTTGCTCAGGTAGGGGAGTTCTATGGACTGCATGTAGCCCCGATCTTAATCTAATCGATTTTTATCTTCGAGGTTTGGAGACACTGCATTTAACCACCCGCTAAGAGGTTGAGGCAACTATTTAGAACAAGGCGTTTTTAGATAAAATCCGCGAGATTTGCTTCTTCTCGGTTATCCATGGTTTGGATTTTTTTTGTTTTCAGTGTTATTCACGAAGTTAAAATGTTCTGATTTTCAATGTTGCAAAGATTGCGAATCAATATAATTCCTGGTAAAATCCGCAAAAAATCCTAGTTTGCTTTTCTATGAAATATCGCATTGGGTTGCATGAAAATACCCGCGGTATGCGGTGTTATTGATAGTTTGAATGCTTTGGTTGATTTTCGTCAAAATCTGCAATTTGGTTTGTACCTTTCGGTGTGTTTAACCATAGTTATCCATAAGCAACTAATTCTGGAAAGTTGCAGAGTATAAAGAATAATTTATTTGTTAAACTTTCGCGGAAAAACACAAAACGCAAAGTCGACTGATAAGCAAAAAAAATTTTATGCATCATCAGAGGCATCAAAAACTACCGATGTGTAATAAAGTGCAGGTTTGGGAACAGCTAAACCCAGCTGATGAGAGCTAATAAGTTCTAAACCGCTTATGAGAGCGCCTGAAATTAACACGTCGCAAAAGTGTACCTACTCATGTCAGCAAGTGTAGGTTTGCTTTTGATTTTTTGGTGTCCCAATGTCTGGTTTATTTTTGGTCTGTACTAAAATTCCTTTTTATATTTAAATGTTTCGTGAAAGCCTTAAACATCTCTTTCATTTATTGCTGTGTTCTTTTCTATCAATATACATTATTTATTGCTTCTGTTGTTTAAAAGAAATTTGCAGTTGCACACAATTTTCCCACCTTGTGTCCATATCAATTTGGAACTTTTAAAACCAATAACAATTCAGCTCGCACTTGTACATTTTAAATTCTAGACGTGCGTGCCTGGTAAGATGCAGGATATTTCTGAGATTTGCTGTTAACAACATGCCTCGCACGAGCTTTCGGAAAATAGAACTGAGATAAAACATTTGCTTTTTTAATAAATACAGAACGAAAACGATTATTTAAACTCTTTTGATGAGTTGTTCGACCAAAAATTAATGAATGAAGTGTTTTAGATTCGCGATCAATTGAATTGAAACAAATTGAAATTCTCCAAACTTTCTTTCATACTGTTATTATATTTGTTCTGGGGAACAATAGCACAATTAATTCATAACTTCGGAGCACTTCGAGAACATTCTCGACTTTTTCCAATTCCAGCATCTGCAACTTTCAAATTTCATAGCACGCCAATTCACTTTGCTGCTATTATTACCACACAGTGTAATTTGCCAAGACAATACACCAATCAATGTTTAACTGCTGCACCTTTAATTATTATCATTATCGCGAATATGCTGGTCAATAATAAAAGTTTTAAGCAATTTGTTTCGCATATCAAAAGCAACATTGTGTAGTAAACCACATACGACAACTCAATGCACTGAAACGATTTGTTAATGAACATAAGACGATTAAATGACATGTTGAAGCAGATTAGAAAGTGTTATGTAAAAGCCCGTTCTGCCGCCTTTGGAACATTTAATGTAGGTATAATTAAATATTACGAAATTCCTGTAGGAGAAGATTCCAGCAATTTGTCAATTTTCCCATCTGGTGTAGACTTCGACTCAACAGTCAAAGATGCAGGATGTTTGCGCAATAAAATTCGATAAAAAGGGAAACTTCATGTTCTACTATTAATATTTTATTCTACTGAAGAATATAATACATTATTTACATCACAGAAGTTATCTGTTAAAGCAATCCAGCTGAATTAATGTTGATACATATTAAAGGATCTACAATACTATACAAACTTGCATAAGCAAATGCAGTAATTGACTGTTGTCATAAATTTTTTTACTGATATGTAGATATGCCCAATGGAGTGAATAATAATTTAAAGCTAAATTCAAAGGCTTTTTCTGGCTAAACCAAAGGTTAACTAACTATCGACACAATATATACATTTTTACAAGGAAATAATAAAATAAATAATGTAGGCAATAATGCGGCAAATAAATGTTTTGCTTGTAATGTGTTCCGCTTTGTTCAGCATTTATGAACCAAACCAAACCAAACACTTGGAATATATACACAGATTTAAAATAAATATTTACATGTTGAATAAATAATTTAATTAATTTGCATATTTAGATAAAAATGCTTGTATACATTATTAAGAATATTTTACCTTGCTAAGTTACAGGCCGTGCTAATCAGTAATAAGCACGCAAGACGTAAAAGAAATGTTAATTAGTTCGAATCAGTTTGCATTTCAACTGATTTAATCAGATTACAAATGCAGATGTGGGATGTATAGATTCTGATTCTGTAGTAAAATGCCCAGAAGAATCGAATAATATCCAAGCAAGTAATTTTGAGAAAGTACTTCTGTTTCTGAGTCGATTACCAAGATTTGGAAAAATCTATCATAAATATAGGTAGAAAAACAGTTTTTATTATCATTAGTCGCGGTAAGAAACACCAGCCAAACTGAAGTAGGAAATTAATTTTTCGAAAGCCTGATAATGAACGAGAAATTAAGTTTGATATCTGTTCCCTGGCAGTTAAAAATTGTAAATTGCACTGTTGGGAAATGATTGGATTCGAAAATTTGGACGGTTTTGCAAAGTTTCCTGGGTGAAAATAATATATTTTTGACCGCATTGAAAAAATCACATCCGCAGTGAATTCCTCACTTGACTCAAAAGAAGTGGACAATTCGACCCCTCACTTAACACGTTGAGTAAAAGAATCAAGCAAAAGCTCACTAACTAATCGTCAATCGCGTATTTACAAAAATCGAAGTTGGCCTGAACTTCACTACCATCCCACCAATCTCAGTTATGCCTCGTTATCACTGGAACAGGCTTCAGAAGGCCTTCTGGAGGCTCAGACTCGGATGAAACTCCAGCTGCAGCCATTCCCATGCTGGACATTCCCTGATGTGCCAAAGAAATCAATGGCAGTTGAAGAGGATATTGCATGGGACTTCCCAGTCTTAAATTACTGTACATTTGCAATAGAGATGGAGGCCGGAAAAGAGGGGTCATATTGGACATGTTGGATAAGTCTGGAGCAGAGGCACTCATCATTTTGTCCATGGGAAACATTGGAGCCCCTGGAAACGGTGGCCTTTGCATGGTGGATGGCAAATAGGGGTTGTAGCGGGAGTACGCAGCTAATAGAGCAGGAGACGGTGGATAAAATGGGGAATAACAGCTTTGCAAAGGGGAGTAAAGCGACAAGGTTCGCTTGAAAGCTGCCAGCCGACTTCGAGAGGCTGCAGTTGATCTTCTGCGCAACTTTCCCGTTGAACTCCCGATAAACACGTCTTCAGACGACGGGTCTAGCATCCAATAGTTGCCTTTGCCAGGATCATCATAGTGTCGAGGAACCTAAATAAACTCGAAATTTCCATCTGGAACAACGCATTTTGCAACGCAATACTAACCTTAACAAAACATTTGTTGAGACTGAGGTTATGACGAATGGAATTTTGCCAACCCTGTTTGTTTTCCCGGTAGTACGGGAAATTTTTCATTATGTACTCGTAAATCCCATTGAGGGTGAGGCGCTTTTCTGGACTGTTGCGTATCGCCATCATTATTAGAGCGTTGTAGCTGTAGGGCGGCTTGTCGTTCGGTTTCTTCTCCTTTTCTGCAACAAGCCAGACGGAGATTTAGCGTTGGTTTAGTTAATGGTTTTGTACTTCCTAATTCTAAGCTTTGGTTTATATTTCTTCTTTGAAATTCATCCCTGCCAACTGGCTTTTGATTATTTATTGTTATTGGACGTTTCAGAATGCACATTGTTGTTGTTAAAGCAACAGTAAGATTTTTTTGTGAATCTGCTGCTGCTTCGCTGAAGTTTTCAATAATTGGCTTTCAAATTTTGTCTAGCTTTCGTATATTTACTTATTTTTTTCTAATGCAAAATTCAAAACAGGGTTTCTTCATGGTGTGTCGCTGAAAAGCGCAGCCTTTGATGATATATGTAAGTCATTCTAAGCGTCTTTTTATGTGCTAACTGTGATACTTGCTTGTTTATCGGCGATAGTTTCGGTGTTGATCGATTTCTTTGTGTATGTTCTTTTGATCTTTAGCTATTTACTTTTTAAATGAAAAGTGACAACAGTAGATTCAAGGCGACTTGCAAAACCGTTCGAACTTCATGAATCAAAATATGAAAAAAATATGAAAGAATTGGAGAAAGGAACATAGTTTATTATGCTTATTTACGCCAACATACAACCAGAAGACTTAAGTGAACTCAAAAACGTTTGTTGTATTATTTTTCTTTTATTTTGTATCTTTTGTAATATTCTTTTAAGGCCTTTGACTGGATGACAGTACATTATTTGAATGTGCCATCGCAATGTCTTCAAGACTATTTAAGTTCTCTTTAAACTAATGAAGAGCAATAAAGACATGTCAAAATATTAGCCTCCATTTCAGCGCGATCATTAATTAAGTTCAGGCCGGATCGGTAAACAAAGGATAAAGCTGCAGGCATTATCTGCATAGCATTCGTATCATCTGACCAAAATTAATTCGTGGCCGGATGACTGTAAACGTTAAGAATCTTTGATTTTTGTCAATGGATGCCGCTTTTTTTCCTGCTGTTGCAGTGGCGCATTTGATTTGATTATTTTGCATTTTTGTCATTGGCAATACCGGAATGAAATCATTAAATTCGAATTCGTTTAGTCGATGTTTCTTCTACCCTCGACTGACCGGTTTTTTTTTATGGAATTAACTGTATGCCGATAAGCAAAGTTTTGGTTTCAGTAAACTACACTATTACTTGTTTTCCTACATGTTTGACTATTAAAAACAGGAACTGTACATAATCCCACAATATTTTCTGTGATTTCAGACAGCTTTTTGCTTTCCAAAATTAATATTACTTATAGTGTTTATCCTTTTTTGGTTTAAGTAGCCTCCGAAGGAATCAAACTCAGTTTATCACTTGAATGATTTTAATTTAGAATTAGGCAGTTTTATTTAATTTACAATTAGTCTTTAGACAAGATAAGCTTTTTCTTTTTCAAACATTTTAAACACTGTAAAGTTTTTTAAGAATAGCCCAAGATGCGTTTGAAATTTGCATAAATCGCCAGCTTCAGTGAGGAAAATTTAATGCTCATGAACTTGCACAAAAAATTAGACAGGTTATATAATTTTAACATAAGAAGTTTCCAAAGACTTTTTAAATAAATCCTGCCTGTGTAGGTATTCCCAGATGTTTGGTTAGTCCAAGCTATTTTTATATTTGAAAGATTTTGTTCTGATAGACCACATCCGGCATACACGAAATTTGCTATATACAGGGTGTTAAAGTTGCTTATCAACCAAAATTTCCAAACTCGAAAATTTGGAAATCGTTCGGAATATTTTAAGGTAATTTCAAATGCTTGGACAGTTTTCAATTGTATGTTTTGGAAAACACATTTTCTCTACAGATTCACCAGCTCACAGGTCTGAATACTTTTAAATTCAAACTGACACACAGTTAATTTTTATGAAAACGTTGTTTTCAATTTTCAGTTCAATTAGGAGCAAAATATTTCTCTTGGTTTTTTCTGCAGTCAATCCATGTTTGTGTAAACATTAAAGTAAATTTCTTGAATATTCCGTTATTTAAACTAATTAATTTTATTTCGAAAAAGTGCCGACGGAATGGTAAAGCAGAAAACAGCATTGCCACCTCAAAACTCGTAAAATTTCTTGTTTTTCAGCACAACTAACCAACTTCCAAGCAGAAACTGTTGTCAATAGCAATTACTAAATACCGTAAATTTAGGTCCTGATTTCCACACGGTTTTTTGGTTATATTTTTGTTTTTTTTACTGTCTACTAACCTCCATTATTTTTGTCATCTTCGTTTGTCGGACCGGATGTGTCCAGTGGCGGAGTTCCGGTACCAATCACATCTAAGTCCGAGTCACAGTCACTCACATCAGCGTCCGACACTTCGTCGACGTTTCGCTCCTCGTCGACACCATCATCCACTTCAGGGGTAACACTTCGTCTGTCCAGCACCGTTTCCGGTAATATCGAGTTTATGGAAAATGATTTCAATGGCGTGTTGTTGGTCATGGCGAAATTCGCGCACCTTGAGATCGATGTTGGCGGTACCACCATATTTACATCATTACGTTTAAAACTGCCTTTCACGTATGTGGCGCACGACTAAAACCGTCAACCTTCCCATTACGTCCGTCGTGTATAAGGGGCTTAATAAAACGGCGAAGATACGCCTTATTGTAAGTCGTCGGCCAATCGGGAGCAGCTTGCAGCTGGTTTGGCTCCGGCCTCTCGTTTGTTTGCTGACACTTATTGGGTGTGGTCTTGCGATAGCAGAAAATATAGATGTATATGCTTGTAAGTAATTACCAAGTGGAAAGGGCGGATTACATTTTGTATTAAAACAAAAAATACTCGATGCTCTTTTTTGTTCCTTTGGCTACTTTACGATGTCATTTGAAATAAGGTGTTTAAATCGATACGGTTGTTTTATTTGCCAGCAGGTTACATTTAAAGGTTTAACTTTATGTACATTTTATTAATCTGTTTAATATTACTAGTGTATGCATTAACTTGTCAGGGTAGATTTTATTGCTGCCTTGCAGCTTGGCTTAATTCGCCATTTGCCTAATTGATCTTCATTCATTATTTGTAGTTTCGTTTTTTTTTGTTGGGCCTAAATTAGTTGTTGATGCAGAAAGTTTCAGAAACTTTTACATTGTATTGGGTACACCGCTTTTTTACTGTGCTTTCCTTTAAAACATACAAACAGTACCTACTTACATTGACTGTGAAAGTTGGATTAAATATTTCTTTATATTGTTTGTTATCAGTTCGTTTATGGGGATCGAACTATTATATTTTCGATAAGCCATCGTAAAGAGTAGTCGAATGTCAACAAATGATTATAATCCCAGCACCAATGGCAAATTGGCTACCCATTGAAGAATAAACAACAATGACTGAAAATGTGTGTATTAAGTGCAAAAAGAAACAGAATAAAAGGGTGAAGATTTTTGTTTTTGTACTTATCTGCTTTTCCGATGAATGTTCAGAGCTAAAGTTAATTTGCCAAAAATCACGGGAAAATCATTAGAATATTAACTGACTGGTATAAGAGATGCTGTGATTAACAAAGCAACCAATAATCCAAATGTTGCAAACGAAAATTAAAAAAAAGGGATTGAATGATGGTTTTCCTATAATTCGGTTTTAGTTTTAAATGAATCTTGGAAATTAATTATCCCTTTGATCATATTTGTACATTAAACTACGGAGAGAAACTGATTGTTTGCAAATCGCCGTTTTCCTGATTTCTGTTTAGTCGAGCACGCAGATTTCACACATTTTCATAAAACTAACTAATTAATTGTAGAAGCAGAATCTATTGCAAGTTATAGTGCATTCCAATACCTACCTATGTTTTACCTACTTTTACCTACTAAATCTAAAAGCTTTAGTACCTATATTTTTTTAAATGTTGTTTTTCTATCGGGACTGTATTTTTTCTGTTGCCAAGAAAAATACCATTTTCATAGTAAAATCGTAATTTTATCTACAACATAAGAAAGCACTTTTAGTTCTTAACGAATCTGACTTTTCACATTTCTTTTGTAGAATTTTTCTCGTTTCCCAGCATATCGAATGTACACCTTTAGGGTTTAGTGTAAAAACGTTTTTTTTTGTTGTTACCTAGTTTTTAATGTAAAATGTAAACATTTAACTGTCGTTCTCAGATTGAGTCTAAGATTTTCTTGACTGGTGGCTTATGGTCAAGTCAAAGAATACATTTAGAATATATTTAATAAGCCGACCATCAAACCCCCAATTTTTTTCAAACGACTATTAAAAATCTAAAAATGTTTTACCCAAAATCGGTCATTTTAAGAAAATTGTATTTTACTGGCTACATTCAGGAGCCAATTTGTCAACTAATTTCAGTTTTTAATTTTCTGAATACTTACTCATTTCGGGGTTTCTTGGATTGGGAGAGAAACCTTTGGCCACCGAAATCCCGGATCTTATTCGTCTCGATTTTTATTTTTGCTGACGAAGGAAGTCGAAAATGAATGTTTTTGAATTTTTTTAATGACCTCAAACCGTTTATTTATAATTATTTGTTTTGTATTATTTTATTTGTTTATTTTTCGAAAATCTTCCATTTTCTGCTAAATCACCATGTGTATCCTTTTATTTGACCAAAAAGGAACACGGTATACAATTCAAAATGTATATTAAGATTTTACTCGACATTTTTAAACAATTTTTATATAGAAGGATTTTTATATAGAAATACCGGGTCTAATTTAGTTTATTAGACCCGGTATTTCTTTTCTTTTTAACCTTGTAACTTTACCTTTGTAGTTTAGCTATGTGAATGTTTGCGATTATTTTCACGAAAACACCATGTCTATACATGTGGGTATATTGTCGATTAAAATTAGATCGCTTTGCATGCTTTAACAACACGTTTATTCACTGTGTATTTTATGTTTACATTTATTTTTTTAATACTTTTAATCAGTGTGTTCAGATTATGTTTTTATTTTCAACGTCGGCTTTAATACCTGACTAGTTCTTTTCATGCGTTACAATTTGAGCAGCAATTTTCAGTTTTAACAAACGCTTCTCTTGAATTATTTTGCTGCCCCCATCAATTTTGTGCATTAACGACGGTTTCATCCTGCACCAAAGTATTATTTGCGGGCTTCGAGATTTACTCAACTTAGTCTTTAGTCGAGAGTTTCAGTGTATTTTTGTTTTTTCCGAATTTGCAAAGAAAGCAGAAGTAGTTTCTTGCGAATGATTTTTACCAGCTTTGCACCTACGCACGATTCCTCTTATAATAGTTAAAGACGATTTTTGGACCTGCGTTAAATTGTGTACATGTTTTAGTAACTGTTATTGATTTGTCCAAGTGAGCTGAATTTGTATGCAATTCTGTGTGCTAGTGGCTTCGAAGCTACGCATTTCCCTGTAAATAAAAACCAAAACTATACATTTTGAGAGTATCAGAGTATATTGAAAGTTCCCTCCTGAGAGACCATAATGAGCATAAACACTATTTTTACTCAAGGTGATCAGTTATACCTAGTAATGTTAAAAAAATATTGACTAATATTACGGCTTTGGACATAAATCGGCTCTTTAACAACCACAACTCCCCTATTACACATAAGGCAGGTAATCAGCAGACACCGAGGCCTCACCCCAAAAAAGAAAAAAAAACCTGGAAAAGGGTGAAGATGAAAAGAATAAATCCTTTAATTCAAGACCATGATGCCGTAACCCGCCATTACGGTGGGCTGTCTTGCAACAAAAGTTTTGATATGTATCTTTGTGTAACGCTTAAATTATTCATATGGTTTTAATGGATGTTAGAAATGGAGGATAAATATTTGGAACATGGGTTAGAGAGGGCAGGGAATTGTTTCTATCCGCGATAAAATCGACTTTTTCTAGAGAGGGTTTTGTGAGAAAAAAATTGCCCAATCCGGTTTCACTCCTCAGTTTTTTTCCCAGTTTAAACCCGCTCTGGTTTCGCTCTGAATGAGACAGATAATGTCGCCGGTGTCGCTGACATTTTAATAAATATTCAAAGCATACTGCTTCGGAATAAAATAAATTTGAAAAATAAACAGCCGAACCGGTTTTTTCGCCCTGGTTAATACTCTAAAATAAACATTGTGTCGTCGAATTTAGTACGGTTTGTATAGCTTTTCAAAGTCGCATGACATGTGAAAGGGTGCGAATTAGAAAGCCGAGTTTCGATGATTTACGAGAAAGTTCCATTGTAATTCTTTATTATATGGGCAACACGCTAATTTCTACAGTGAAGTGTATCTAGGGCTGATTTTGGTGAGAGGTTAGGTTAAAATGAAATCTTTTGCAGCTTGCATTTATTTTATTTTCATTTAGGTACAGGATGGTATTTTTCTGATATCTCGTTCTTCTGGAGATGTTGTGGTAGGTAAGTAAAAAAAAAACAGTAATTTCATAAGAATTTGAGGTTTTTCTGAATTTTCAATCACCCTGTATATATTGGAGTTTCAAAAAATAGATAGATTTAGGAAACTATTTAACCGTGCGCTCAAAGATATTCTAAAGCGATTTTGGTGGTTTAGACACCTAGCCCATGTAGCATCATATATCGGGTAGGTATATATTTATACAGTATTGGCAGAGCATTTTTATGTTGGGTCAATATTGTCAATTATTAGCCAATATTACTCCAATATTAGAATAGCTTTTCTGACCAATATTGATGTATGTATACAAATACAATATTGGCAAAATATTTTTAATTTCCAGTATTGCTTGAAGATTAACATGCAATATTGTATAGCAATACTATGCCAATTAAACGTTTTCGATATAATTAATAATCATAGAATATTGTTTTAGTAGGTAATAATTATTAATAATATCTTACGGCCTGATTTATAATCAAAGTTAAAGTGTTTATTTCTTAAAGTGTTAGAGAAAAATAGATACAAAAAACCGGTTGCAAATCTAGTTGCGTACTATATTGAAAACTGCTTGTCGGATAACACGCGAACACGCCTGCGGAACGGGCCAACTTTAGCAATCGAACTCGGCTACTATTATTTAAGGTTAGCGTTGTGTATTTATTTGTACCTACCTAAATAGTAAATAGTTACATACTTCGGTGTTTTGTGATTTTGTGCAATAATCTGTAACTCAACATGTAAGTACATATTATTATCACATAAATATAGTGGTAGGTATCTTTTTGCCTACTCTTTTTAATATAATAAGTTCACAACTATTTACATGCCCTCATGTATATACATGAGGGCATGTATTTGTTGTACAGTTGCTTATAATCCATACAAGCCGTACGTTTATAAAACTCTGAGCTTTATTCGAGTTTTGCTAATTTTGTAAGGTAAAATGAGGTACCACCGTACCAATGCCGGGTATTATTTGAACTGCTTTGAAACTAGTTACAAACTGTTATTCTAGAGCTCATTAAAGATATTTTTTATATTTTAACTCGCACATTCCTAAAAATAAATAATTATGTAAGTAAGATTTATTGTACCTATGCTACAATAACGAATGTAATCTAACAACTTACATAGAAAATTAAGTTTAAACTCCATTTTTTAGAGAATTTTGTTCTTTTTCTGTAAAAATACATGTACTTGTAGAACATATACAAAGTCTGAATATTGTAGCACAATGTAATATCAATTTCAGGTCATCAAGATCGAAAAAATCGWTGTATATAAAAAGGCAACTTGAGAAAGAAGTTAATACTTTAACTCCAGCTATTGCTAAAAAGCATAMACCCAATTTTKGCAATTRTGAAAACAYTAATTCTTARWGCTTTGGGTTAGAACTTCAGAGTGATGAAGCTTCTAATGATGCCTTATATGTTAACCGACCTAGATATCAGGAAATATATCGGATTTTCCCTGGCTAGTGCTGGAGATAGAGAGGGTGGAAAAAAGTCCAGGCCGGTGAGTTCTTTTTTTTTTCGTTTAATAATGGTTTCATACAAATAGACAAATAGCCATTATTTGTTTTGCAATTTTAGTAAAATCTAACTGAGTTTATTGTATTTCTAGGAACCGATATCAGGACAAAAATAAGATGTGCATGTGATAAAAAATGTTTGTTATTTAATTAATATATATGTGGGTATTGTTCAATTAATATGTGCATTATTTAATATTATGATTCCTCACAAAAAAATAATTGAAAATAATATGTCATTGTTAGGGTTGAATATTAATTTAAAATCTCTTTTGCAGTCATACAATATCTTAATATTCATTTAAATTTGAAGTGAAAATGTTAGTCGGAGAATCGATCCAAACTCCAGAGGTGTGTCCGCCAATATTGAAATGTGAATGTATACATTTATTCGGGAAGCACGGGAGATCACTTCGCCCACTGCCTCATCGCCTTTGAAAATGTCCACCGCAGTTGTGGACAAAACGTCAGGAAGAAATTCCGATAGACCACGGCTTCAAAGCCCGGAAAATATTCCTAAATGTATACATTTATTTTTAATTAAAATCGGATAATAAGAACTTGTTATGAGTTTTTAAAACTATCTACGCGTGTTTATACACGTGAATATAAGTTTTAAAAACTCATAACATGTTCTTATTATCCGATTTTAATTAAAAAGAAATGTATACATTAAAATTTCAATATTGGCGCAATAATTATTAACAATATTGAGCCATCCAGTATGTTGCATATAGTCAATATTGTACGAATATATTTTGCTACCTGGGAGACGATAATAAAAATGCGTTAAAGAAAACGTTTTCCATCATCAGCATAATAAAATACATCAAAATGTATGAAATTTGTCGGGAAAACTTTATGCTGAAGCACTAAAAAACATGACCCCTTACGCAAATCGTTGCTATATTTATGAAGTTTCCGTTCAGTTTTGCCTTTTCTATTTTATTCCACTTGAACTGAAGTGATTCAAATCGCTTGCCAACGAAGACACTTGAAAAGACTATATTAGTCGTGGCCATTGTTTAAAAACTTTCAAAGTGGAATTGTTCAGCACGGCGGGAAGGTGGCTAGCAGAGTCAACGTTTTGTCTCTATTCTATCTCGACTCTTTGAATGGCACTCGAATCATGGAAGACAGGAAATATTGAACAGCGCTCCCTATTCAGCATAAGTTCTTTAAAATATTTCAGTCGATCACTTTGCCTTGAATATTGCCAAAGCAGCGTTGCAGGTCAATTTAGTATTTATGAGCATTTTCCTTAATTTAGAATCAATTGCTTCCAAGAAAATTGAACTGGGCTGGAGAGAAATTAAACGTAAAACGGAAATCAAATCAATAAAAAAAATCTCACCCGCATTTCAGTTTATTTTCCCTTCAATCATACAGGATCAGTAGAGCTATTTATTTTAATGCCAGGAACTTTTATCATATAACTCCGCGGTGTCTTTTGAGAGCGGCCCAGGTTGTCTGACAAACAACTACATGTAAACGAATCTACTTGGAACGTTTTATAGTGTTTGTTTATGTTTTATGTTTAATCACACATAAAGCGGCGGCTTCTTTGATAAATCTCCTTTGCATGGAAAATAAATTTCCCGTGTATTTTTAAGTCGGTGCCTCGCGAGGTCTGCTGTGCCTTATGAATGTAGCGAGGAAAACCAGCCATCAATCATGCCTCTGTAAGAACAGACGAATTTTATCTGAATTGACAAAATTAGTTGCATCGGTTTCCTGCTGGGCAGATTTTTGAAATATTGGTAGTCACGCGAAAGTGTTTTTTGGAGCATTGCAGGATGTTCACTTGAAATCACTTGATGGTGCCTTTTTCAAATCGGTCAGAAACGTTCGTCTAGAACAGTGCTTCCCAAAGTGGTCCCTACGAACCCCAATGGGTCCCTGTAGTCATTGAAGGGGCCAATATTAAAGCCGATCAGAATTTTATATCCAACAAAAAGAACAAACCTACTGGAAATTCCCACTCGTGGAGATTTGCGGTTGCTGCTCACAAACATTGAACCGTTTAGGTTCATCCATGTCATTAGATTATTTTGTATTTGAAAGCAAAAGTTATAATTTCAATAAATATTTTTTTTTACGTCACCATTTGCCATTTTTCCCCGGGTCAGTAGAACAGTTTTGACTAAGGAAAGGGGTTCGAGGGCCAAAAAAGTTTGGGAATGACTGTCTAGATCATTGCTAGTTTTGCTCTTTAATGAGGACTTTTTTTCATAATTTCTCCATAATTGCTTTAAGCCGCCCGTGCGGCTTTTTAGGGTTAATTTCTAGATCTTTTTCTACACAGTATTCACAAAATCCCCAGCCCGAATTGCACCAAAATGTAATTTAAATTCAGGTGAAGAGTGATTTTTTAAACTTTTAATTCAGTATTTATGTAGGTACATAACTGTAAATGAGCGAATTTTCGTTAAATTCCATATACCCGACATGTTTTTTAAAAAAATTCAGTTCGGAGTTAAAACTCACAATTTTCGTTCAGAGCAGGCTGATATGGAAAAATTCACAACTTTAGAGCAGTCCTGAATATGCACTTTTAATTGGTCTGAAATATTCACAAAACATCCAGCTACCAACTGACCCAATTTAATTTATATGGAACGGGTGATTTTTGTAAACCTGGATGGTTTTCTTTGGGCCCCAAAATTTGCAATTTACTGCCTTTCAAACTGCTGAAAAAACGCACAACTTTGGACCAAACTAGAAGATTCTCAACAACCACTCCCTACAGTGTTTAACAAACATCCAGCTGTAAGTTGAGGGAACTTTATTGAAATCGGTTTATAAACTTTTGCCTTTGAGAGCCAAAAATCGAAACTGTTTCTTTCTGCAAAAATATGGAAAAATATTCTTAACTTTAACTTACGCCCAATTATTCTTGTGAAATTTGCCACTTAGTACAATACAATTTCATTATTTACATCAATAAATCAGAATGGGCAGTTTTGCTGTATCTAATCGTAGACTCAACCAGACAATATGCAAATACGATTAATGACTTCTTGAGCCACAAGGGACATATTCAGTTTCTTATTTACCAGAACTACCATTTGCAAACAAAGCAACATTGTGGACTGTGGACCAGTAGCTGCTTGCTTTGTAACTTGTTACTTGATTGTTGTTTTATTGCACCCTACCGCCGCCAACTGTGGATATTTTCGTGACACTGGGCATTATTTGCCATTATTAATAGCCGCTAAGTATGAAGAAGTTTAAGTTGAAAGGGTTTTGACAAAGTGTGGAACGAATTTTAATGGTTGTGCAGTGAAAGAACTTGAACCGTATGGCTAACAGCTAAAAGGTTGTTAGTATCAAAACCTAAATCAGGGAAATGCTTGAACTCTTAATAGTAGATTATTTTACCGAAAAAGCATCGGTCCGTTTTAAAACGCATGAAATTATGAGCCAGATGTTTTGATTGAGTCCGTGTAAAACTAATTAAGACATGACCGGAGAAAGAGCGGCACATTATCCCTTAATTTACTGCTAAAATAGCGTCACGGACATTATTTATGCATGCAAACGACTAATTACTTTACGTGGTGGACGATTCCGAAAGAAAATATAAATATTTTTTAATAAACTGATATGAACGGAATTTGAATATCTTAACGCTACGTGTATATTAAACAACCAACATATTACGGACGTTTATGTTCGGGGTCGCTATTAAACGTTCCAATTTACTACCGACAAGTTAATATAGTTCGGTGTTTATAGCTATTAAGGGGATTAGGCTCAGGGTTTTGTTAAAAGCAACTTTCCATGTATGGCCGTCCAATAGTTCGCCTTTCAACAACATCTCTATCCGACGATGGAACTACAATTCACAACCAAATGTGTTTTGCTGCGAACCAATAATCCGAAAATTTATAGAACTGGCTGATGATAATGATGATCCAAAATATAGACTATTCGATGCCACTAAATTTAAAGAAAATGCGACTGGAACTTGGAAGAAATTTTGTAATGTTAAACAACCAATTTTTTAAGGTGGCGATACAATTTGAGTATTTCGCCTCAAAAATTTTTGCCTTCAGAAAAGACAGAATTTCCTCACATCTTTTATTACAGATTGATAAATAGTGCTCCTATTTCGCAATAAGAACGAATTATTTATCAAAAAGTAATCAAG